GGAAGCGGCGGAAAATCCACCTCACTGAAGAGGTTCACGGGTGCAACGGCAGGCACAGAACAGTCAGCAGCCAGATGGCCCAAGAAGCCACAACGATAACACGTCCGAGGCTGGCGGGCGTAAAATACCCGAACGTTGTAGCCCATAAGCCGCACAGAGGACGGAATATCTTCCCGGAGCCTCACGCCCAGGGTGCGAATGTTGGTCCTCACACCCTTAAGTGGACTGGAAGACACCACGTTCACCCGCACACTGATCACTGCGCCATACCGGCCGAAGTACCGCCGTAGAAACATACCGGCCGAAGTACCTTTCTGGAAACTCCAACGGAGCACCATGCACACTGACGTACGTGAGGGCACCACTCCGATCAGATAGTGACACAGTGCCCGCACCATCCAGCAGGGGAAATGTCCGCCCCTCGTAACGACGTAGAAACTCGCGATATGCCAAGTCCTCGGTAAATTTCAATATCGCTCGACGAGCCGTCACCAGCTCGACACCATAAATGTCGATCACAGGGACATGAAGCACCTCACACACCAGCGCTATCTCTGGGTACCCAGCCCGGCCGGAAAATTCGAGGCCCACAGACTGAGCCCGCAGTACAAGGGGGAGGGGGACCTCCATCGTTAACTCCACGTCAGCACAGGCAGGCAGAGAGACACCCGCCCTCAACCGGCCAAATTGGTAAACACCACCAACAGCCGGAGCGAGTCGACTGTTGGCAGCCGTGGAGTGAGGACGTTTCTCGACCCTCCGTGGCTGTTGGAGTTGTTTGCTGTTTTGGTCGCCAGGTGGTGTGGGCGTCATTGCCCTACCAGTTTTGTTGCCTGCCTGGCTGCGTTGACGTGGCTGTTCTGACATGGGGGGCCATCTTCCTCCTGTTCAGCGTGTGAACTCCGTGGGCCTGGAGTTCACTTGTAAGGCTGATTATCCGACCATCGAGATGGTGATGTGTGACATGTTTCGTGTCCCGGTGGAAGCTGTTTACGGTGTGGAGCTAGTTTCGGCCCATCGGGTTGTTATTAAGTTCGTGGGGTAGGACGAGTACCGGGACTTCCTCCGTCGGTTCGGGGGGCGTACGTTGCCGTTGCCAGACGATGCCGGCTCTGTGGCGATTTCAGACCGCAGTGGTGCCCTGACTTATCAGTATCCATGGTGCGCCCCTGGAATTCCCTGATGACCTCCTCCGGCGTTACTTCGGAGGTTTTGGTACTGTTGTCAGCGTGCGGGTGAACACGCTCTCCTCGGGGCGGTATGCTGGGAGGCGTACAAACATTCGCACGTTGGGGATGCGCCTGCGGTCGGATATACCTTCTTCTGTCCGGCTTATGGGGTACTACGTCCGGGTGTATTATGCCCGGCAGCCTCGTACCTGTTTCCGGTGTGGCCTGTTGGGGCATCAGGCTGCCGGGTGCTCTGAGGCCCCTGCTGCTCCTGTCAACTTGTTCCGCGACGAGGATTTCCCGCCGCTCCCTCTGGAGGCAGTCTCCGGTGATGTTGATGAGGTGGTGCGCGTCCCGTCTGCTGCTACAGCTTCCCCGGCGGCGCCTGCCGTTCCTCCGGTTGTTGCCGTCCCTCCTCCGGTTCTTGAGGTACCGTCGGTTGGTCTGCCTGTTGCTGTTCCAACTGCTCCCGTGGGCCTTCCTGGAGCTCCCTGTGTGACGTCGCTGTCTTCTCCCTCGTCTTCTGATGCTGCACCTGGCCCTGTGTCCGTGACTCGGGTCCCGGATATGCTTGGTGCTGGGGTGACTGCAGAGCCTCCTGCTGTGTGTGGCCCGGTTCCCCCTGTGGTAGAGGCTGCTGCCGTCCTGGCGTCGGTTCCTTCGGCTCGTGGTACCCGTGTTTCTGGGTCACTTACCGGCTCGGACGATATCCGGCCGGTGCCCAAACGTTCCCGGCGTTCGACTTCTTCCTGGGCCAACGTTGGTGACTTCAGTGACTGTGGGGCTTCGGGTGTTGACAGTGTGGATACGGATGCGTCGATGTCTCCGCGGTTCGTGGTGGCGGAGGTCCATGTGCCTGCCGGTGCTGGTGCCTGTGTCTCGGACGTGCCTTCGGTACGTCCGAGACTCTGGTGTGGACTCTGGTGCTGGGCGTGGCCTGGTGGTGACGTTACGGAAGGATGCGCGCAGTCCGGGTTCCCTGCTGTCGTCTGGTGGTGTGCCCGGGGCCGCGAGTACCCCTGTGGTGCGGGTGCGCGTTGGGGCCCTGGGGGACGTGTTGCCGGCGTCTGTGATGCCACCGGATCACTGGTCGAAGATTGCCGAGTTACTGCTGTCTGACGGACCGGAGTGCTTTCGTGGGGGGCAAGTTCCCTTCCTGTGGGGGCGAGTGGCGACTTCTCGCCTCATGAGTTCTACCATCTGGGTCCCCAGTTTGCAGGTGTTTGTTGCCCCGGTTCCGGATGTTATGGCGTCCCCGGTGGATGGACGAGACCCTTGGCAATGGGTGCTCTGGGAGGCGTTCAATGTAAGATTCCCGCGGGCCAAGTTCCCGGGCAAGTATGTGCTCTGATTTCTTGTGTATTTGCTCTGACATGCTGTGTGCCCTTCTGGCTGTTTGTTTGCCCTGTTCTATTATGGGCTTCTGCCTCTCCCTTTGTGCGTAGCTTTGCCGTGTGGCATATTAGTTTCTAGTGCTTGGCGTCACTCGTTTCGCGTTTTGGCTTAGCATTACGCCTTTCCTGGCTTTGTGATTCACCCTTCACGGGTACGCCGGGGCGCATCCGATCCCACGATCGTCGTCGCCCCTAATTCAACAACAACAACAACAACAGCCGGAGCGCGATTCACCACGTCCTTCCCCTACCGAAGCTAGGGCTACACCGATTCCGATCTTAACACGATTGACAGCTAATCACTAACACGGTATACCTAATAGTGCCGGTGTGCAAAGGGTCACAGTAGTTCCAAACACGATATTCAGGCAATAATCATGCACAATAAATCAACAATGGCTCTGTCAGTGGGACAGGCAATATGCATGCATAATACTTATGTCACACAATAACTAAATGTGTGGTGTATGTGAAGCTCATATTCAGTGACAACTGTAATGTTGTGATACCACACAGATAAACACGTGTACACCATCGTATGGCTTGATTTCAACCTATACCTGTTTCAAGTGTTGAGAAGGTGAGAACTGTGGTTGACATCTCAGATCAACACACAAAAAGACACTTTAATAAGAAAAAATCTTATACTTACAGGTAGGGTAGCGATGACCATTCACTCACTTACGGTCATTCTTACAAACATCCTCGTAGGTGGCCTGACAGCTGGTCTTGCTCGTTACAACGTGAGAGGATTAGCTGACAGGCTTTCCCAACACGACCGTACTTCACACGGCGGGGGTACTCGAAGGAGGTGTGCTGCGTTTCTTCACTGACTGCAAGTGGTATCTTATGTAGACACACTTGCAGGTAAAACACAAACACCCCAAAATCACACTGGCACGTGAGGTAAGGGTTTGGCAGGTGGTGACGTTACGTAGTATAATGTGGGTGGAACAGGCGGCGGCTAGGCAGCTGGCGGCTACACGTGCACTCTGGACTTCGAGCGCCGGTGGTAGCGGCTACGCTATTACACCATGCAGGTGCCTTTGTATAAAGTCACACAGAATACTTAGGCGGTGGCACTTCCCTAGGTCACTCTAGGTCACTGAGTCCCTCACGGGTGATTTCGATCTCACTTTGTCGCTAGATGTTACTTGATATCAATCTGTTTCTTTCTGATGATTCAAAGCCATTTTGTCACTCTTGAAGGCTTCTAAACAACATAGTCACAGTCGCGATTCTAGGCGAGCGCTGATATATTGAAAAAGACGCAGAGATTAACTTGACGGTAAGTAACGAATGGTGTGTTCTACTCCTTTGGTCGATAGAATAGAATGACACATTAACCACGTACAAAGTTCCTCACGAGAATGCAGGTGCAAGGGGTTGCAAGGACCTTCTTGGGGCACAACTGCCAGGCCAACAAACTAGCCAATGGCGTTGCAGCAAAGGTGCCAGATCCAATGATGTTGACCCGTACTTGATGGGTTGAAGAGTGACGTCATGACCACGTCACGGATCTTCATCGCCACAGTTGAGATTGACCCCAAAGGTCATGCTTATCTCGCCCGCCTCGCTGACATCCCCTCTTCCCACGCCTGCACCTTACAACTGTGTATTCCATGACTTTCATTTGCTACAGCAAAATTGTTTAAATACCCCTTTATGTAATTACTCCCTAGGCATATGACGGCCACTGCGTGATTCATATATTCCTGGGCCTGTGGGCATTCTACGGACACCCGACATGACAGCTTTCGATCCAGGGGTATACGAGATGGGCCTTGTGCACTGCTTGGTGCACTGTGTACTGCTTGGTACACTGTGCACTGCAACAAGACATTTAAGTTAGCTGTGGTAGAATCTTCAGAGACCATTCTCTCACACTGTATATAAATAAATAAATATATAATAAAATAATAATATTGTAAGAGCATGATAATTCAAATTATAAGTACCACAAATCTTTAGTAATCGGAAAACATTCGCGTTCGTCATATTTAAGTATATGGTGGGGGTAAGCAGATAATCTATAAGGTTATGTAGGTAAATTTGTGAGAGATCAATTATTGGGTAAACTTCAGGAATAACCAGATAAACTGTTGGAGTAAACAAGTAAATGGGGAAAATGACTATAAACGGCAAGAGTAACCAGGTTGTGGTTCATAAAATTGCAAATTTGCTCATTTTTGGACTCTCCTGGTAAGAATTTTGGCTACCCCAAATACCCAGCTAAATCGAACAGAGGCGGACCCCTTATATGATTCTGTTTACTGAACATAGACAGTACTCTAAATAGTATTATTTTGTTCTCCATATTTTCCTTTGTTCTACAGTATATAAGTTGTGTTATTTCGTTCTACAATATATGAAAGTTTCTAGGCTGACAATTTAAATCACTATATTCAGACCAATAAGCTGTAATTTGTATTGGCAGGTCTAAAGTAGTGCTAAATATGACCTGGAGTCTGACCTTCGCCAGCAACATGGACCTAACAAAGAAAGACTGTAAATATAAAGAAGATTGGTATTCCTGTGTCAGCGCCACTGTCTGCATCCTTTATCACAAAATAAATCCAAGCAATATCAACCCGCAGAATTTAGGTAAATAGTCTGTTGTGTATGTATGCACCTAGATGTTTATCTATAAAATTGACACAGAAAAATTCTTAAAGACTGAAACTTCAAGAACAAGAGGTCATAGATTCAAATTAAGGAAACACAACTGCCAAAAAATACATTAGACAGTTCACTTCTGCAATGAGAGTAATTATCTAAGTGTAGTTACAGGATGAGAATGCTCGTGGTGCCCCGTCTTCCCAGTACTCTGTCGTATAACGTTTTGAAACTTCTGACGGTTTTGGCCTTCACCACCTCCTCATGGAACTGAGTGGTAGACAGTTGGAACAAGCTCAGGGAGAAGGTGGTGGAAGCCAAAACTGTCAGCAGTTTCAAGGTGTCATATGATAAAGAGTACCGCACTGGGAAAACTGGACAATACGAGTGTAGCTCAGCTCCTGCAACTACATTTAGGTAATGACAAGTGGGTAATTGCGTAGATGTTCTCATGAAGTTGTGGTTACAGGGTGACCACTGGCTCTATGCTCCATCTTTCATCTTCAGTAGTTTAATTCAACAACTCGATTTGAGTTAGCATTGAATACTTTATCTGACATGTCATCTGACATTTCTGTAATTCAGTTGTGTATATGTGTGTAATTACCAAAATAATTTTCTAAGTGTAGGTACAGAGTGAGAATTATGCTCATGGTATTCCATCTTCCCAGTATTATTTATTATATGATGCATTGAAACTACTGATGGTTTTGGCATCCATTGCCTTCTCAGTTAATTAGTTTTAACCATCTACCTCTCTGACTGCAAAAGAGAACTTGCTTAAATTTTTTGGCACCTTTATTTCTTTATCTTGAGTCTATGACCTCTTGTTCATGAAGTAGCAGGTTTAAAAAATTCCTCTTTTGACTGTTTTGTTGATTCATGTTACCATTTCGTGAGTAGTAATGATATTGTCGCTTTTTCCCTACTATCTTCAAACCTTTGCATGTTTAATGCCTCCAGCCCCTGCTCATAGCTCATGTTATTAAGGTCTTGGAGCCATTAAGTAGCATGTCTTTGCACTCTTTCTAGTGTACCTATGTGCTTCCTAAGATATGGACACCACATCTCGGCTGCACTTTTCAATTTTGGTCTAACAAATTAAGTTTCTTTAATATTTCTTTCTTCAATGTTTCTTTAATACTATAAATGCTGTTCTGAAATTTGCTAGCATAATAGGCTCATCTTAAAATGCCCTTTATTTGGTTTTCTGGTGATGGCTTATTATCCTGAGCCACTCTTGGCTCTCTTTCGACTTCAATAGTTTTTAGTACAGTATCTTTTCACATAACGTATTGGTCAAGTGAGACCTGTTTTCCCTATTCCAAATACCATAACATGACATTTATTTATATTGAATTCCATTTGCCATGTGTTGTTCCATTTATCTTGTCTGTGCCTGTAGATATGGTGGCTATCGTGAGCTAAATGTTATCAGTGTTTGAAGGATATTTACATCCATTATTTATTGTGGCTTATTGTGTTGGGCCCAAGGCCAAGCCTCATTCCTCCCGGTTCGGTTGTTGCTCCGGGTCCTGTCTTGCTTGGAGGCTTACCGTGGAAGAGTAGTCCTGTTGGGCCCTTGATGGCAGCCCCAGCCTCAGCCTCGGTTTCAGGTGCTGATTGTTCGGTGTCCAAACCCGAGGGTCTTCCCGCGGCACCGTCTCTTTCAGCAGATCGGTCTGGTCCAGTACGTAGCTGGTTCGATCTTCTCCTCCGATCTTTGCATCTGTTCTTTTTGACACGGGTTTATCACCATTATTATGGTGATCAGGTGGCTTCATTGATGGTGACCCACCTGAGGGTTTCGTCTCTGTGGTAGTACGAAGTTTCTTAATTGTCGGTCCTATCGGCACTTTTTGTCTCTTCATAGGTTGTCTTCGATTTCTGATCGGGTTGTTTTGTCCCTTTCTCTCTTGGTTGTTTCAGGACTGTCATCTTATGCCGAATACTGTCGCCTTATATAATGTGTCGCTGGTGGAACTGCTTCGGCTTGCGTTAGGGAAGGTTTTCACTTCTGCTCCATTCCGCAAGCATTCTCAGGTGTTATTTCACCTCCGGCCTGCTCATGCCCCACCTGAGCCATTCTGGTCGTTGGACCAGGTTCTCTTTTTTTTCTTCTCAGTTTGTAGTGGCCCCTTTGGTTCAGGCCTGTTTTTCTAAGGCTCTTTTCTTGTTGACATTGGCCTCTGGGAGTTGGGTCGGGGAGCTTCATGCTCTCCTCCGGCATAGGGGTTTCTACTCTTTTGGTCCTGGTGGTAGGTTTGTTCGTTTGCAGCCATCTTCTTCTTTTCTGCCGAAGAATGAGACTGCTGCTTTCCGGAGGGGTCCTTGGGTTATTGATGCTTACTTGGTTCAGCAGGGAGTGCATCTTGTTTTGTGTCCGGTTACGGCTCTTCATCGTTACTTGCATGCCACGGCCCCTGTGGCAGGGGACGCGCTTTGGGTTGACCTGGTTTCCTTTCTTCCCTGTTCCAAGGCGAGGGTCTCCCCTGGTCGTCTGCAGGATTATTCAGTCCAGCCAGCCTACAGTCTATTCCGTGCCCACGACGTTCGCAAGTTCGGTTCCTTCGGCTCCCAGGAGCTATGCAGGCTGATATGAATATATTAGACCCTGGCACCAGTCAAGTGAATGGAGTTCTTAGGCCTACCAGTGACCACGAGTCAGAATCTGGCCCCCTCAAAAGGCACGAGGAGCTATGTCCAATAGAAACCCCCGTGTTGTTAGAAGCATTCTATATCTTCCATCGACCGGGTCAGGCACCCAGAAAGGTAAACGCCCCAAAACAAACCCAATATGCTTAAAATTATGGCTACTGTTGGACAGAACTCCCACAAAAGAAAAAAGAGTATGACGTCACAACCGTCATTGCGCCACTGTCTGTGCAGCTCCCCCTCCCAGAGAAGGGGAAGGGGAAGCCCTAGACCCCCGGTCGGCTATCCATACCCCCAGTTCTGAGGCTGGATGTCAAAACACGCAAAAACTGCTGACCAGAGGGAGGGAGGGTTGCCGGGGAGCCTCCGGGTCTCACCCAGAAAATGGCATTTCATTACAATCAACATTGGTTTTCTGGTGGGAGCCCCTTCTCCTCCCTGGAGCTACTTAACCAAAGTTAAAACAAAAGAACGTTACCTAGTAGGCAATCGCCACTCGCTCCTCAACTCGAAGTCGAGACACCTGGATGCAACCGCCGACCCAATGAGACACATGCCTAACTAGGGCCAAGAACATTGACTAGGTAGCAAGCGGCCAGGACCCAGCTTTGTTTTGGGATTCCTACCTTTCTGGGTGCCTGACCTGGTAGACGGCAGACATAGACTGCTTCTAACTACATGGGGGTGTCTATAGACCATTGCTCCTCGTGCCTCTCTTAGGGGGCCAGGTTCTGGCTCGTGGTCCCCGGTAGGCTAGAACTCCATTGATTGACTGTTTACATGGTCTAATATATACACATTAGCCCGGTATAGCTCTGGGGAGCCTCTGGCTCTCACCCAGAAAATGGCGTTTCATTACATTCAACGCTTGTGTTTTGCAAGGAATTTATTTTCGGGACACAGTGGGAATGTCATATTTTAAGGCCAAATAGAACGGTGGTTAAATAAGAGAAACATTTAACAACCACAAAAACTAAACTTTATATACTATTCATTACATACCTTCGTATTTCCCATTAAATTAAAATCTTGGTGAATTGAAGGTTAAGCAAGATTTTTCATGCTCTCACAGTGGCAAAAAAAAAAAAAAAAATAATAATCAGGCAAACTTCTAAATTCAAACCCTTTCATACAAGAAATAACACAAACTGGGACACTAATAACATGTACACGCAGATTTTATTAATTAATTATGAGAAAAATGAAGGAAAACTCCATATAAGATGTTTTACGTTAGAAAAATTAACTGCACTGCTCTGAACTTCTCAAAAATAATATATGAATAAAATGGTTTTAAAAGAAAATTTTCGAAGTCGGTAAACAAATACTTAATAATCATAGTATTTGTAACTGTTCAATGTTACTCAAAACTTCAAATTTCAATACTTAAGCTGGAAACATCTTCGACTCGCTCAACTTCTCACATTTCACTATAGCAAAACCTGTACATTTCCCCACCACTGGAAACTGAAGCATTAAAGTTAATTGACTATCTAGTGCACTTCCATCCTGCAACTTCCCTTTTTTCCCTAAAAAATAAACTTGCATCATTGGATGTTATACTGGGCCCTATTTTCCTCTAGGCAAACCAAATCAAAACGAATTCTAATGACCCTTTGACGGCTACATTCACAATACTGGACAACCATCCAAGATGCGGAACATACGTGTAATCTTGCAATACGCACTACAACTCATTAAAACTAACACAAATGTGAGAAAAGCCTGGGAATTAGGATGGAAGCGTTCAGTTTATTTACTTCCACCCGGCATCCATAACTCATTTTCACATTAACTTACAACTAACAGCAACACAAAAGTTGATTCTGAATTGGGATGTTAGACTTCCACTGTCACTGCACAATTTCCTAATGTCCTTGAGTCTTATGGTTAATATACACACTGTCAAATCGCAAATGCAGCTGGCGAAGGCAACATTCCATGCAAGATGGTAGATCACACCTGTATTCACCTAATTGTATTTACCTAATTGTGCTTGCTCTCCAACCTGTGGGGTTGACCAGGTGACAATCAACCATTAGAAGTTTTCACATCACTGCAGATGTGGATGACAGGAACAACAGGTGTGGGATTTTACCAGATAACAGCCTCAGTAAATGGGGAGACAACAGGTGTAGGTCACCACAGAGGATGGATGGCCTGGAGCGAGGCTAGCCTGCCTGGGAGTGACGCCACTGGCTGGGTGTTGGGTGTGTGTGTGTGTGCGTGCGTCACGTCCCGCCAAGATAAACGAGTAGGCCCACATGTTCACCATTTTGAGACACAGAACTTCGTCATCCTGTAAGTGCGCACTTTATCCCGCAGAATATGCTCCCCTTGACATATGTGAATAAATGATGATAAAGCACTATAAGTGGTCAACTACCCCAAAACAAAAATAATTGCGCCAGATTTAGCACTTTTTGAAAAGTGTTTAAAAAACTTATCACACAAAAAACACACCAAATCTGTTTCGTGAAAATAGGTTGTAGTACATTCCACCAAGTTCAGTTAATGAATACTTCAAAGTAATCAAGGAATAACCCAATCTAGTTTTAATATTTTCATTCAAATGACACATATGCTCAATAGCTAGTAAATTACAAGGTTTAAGGAAAAATAATGGTAGATAATGGCACGAGCAGGTAAGGCTTGCGAGTGTTTACCGGAAACTAAAGTTAGCAGGATCCCCAAACTGCCGTGTAAAGGTTACAAAGCTTGAAAGCCGTACCCTAGATTACGAACTCACAAAACCTGTCCTTACTTTCTTATTCACAGTATAGGTATGTTTCTTTAAAACCAGGGTTTGTACAACCCATATGCAATTATTAACCACTCCAAACACAAAAATGACCACGTGGAGCCGGTACTATACTTTTGCACTGGCGGGACTCGATAAACAATCAAAGTACGTGCATTACATTTATTTAATCAGGAAAAGGAATAATACACTAACAAGGAAAACTCTCAATTACCAGATTAACGAATACAGTTCCATTCACTTGGATATAAATGGAGGTCAATAACCTCACTCAGTGAGACGAACACACAGTTGTTGGAGTTGCAGCCCCCCCCCCTCTCTCTCTCATGGAGTGCAGGAACATTAATCACGCGAAAACGCATGGGATAACTTTTACACGCAGAATCATGTTCATTTACTAATACATACTCTCAAACACAAATGAAAAATTAACACAAATAAAACAAACTGGTATTCTGAATAAGAGAAACATTTGCATTAACAGCCACAAAAGCTAAACTTTATATACCAGTCATTACAGTGTCTTTACCCTTGGGGTAAGTTGAAGGGCTGGGGCTTTCCGTCTTGCCCCAGGTAGGGAAGTGTTATTGGCAACCTGTCCTCTTAAAAATAACGTCGCTTTTGGCAGTTTAACCGTATGGCCGAAATTGGACGTAATATGAAAATGAAAAATAAATTAAAATAAATTTGGGATTTTTTTTTCAACAACAGTAAGTTAAGGGTCCTCTGATAGGTTAGGTGGGCAGGAAATTCTCATAAAGTTTTAAAACGTTATGAAAAACGTGAATTGAAAGTTTCTTCTCCTAGCGTGTCCGAGTAGGCCGGATGACTCAAACAGAAAACGGAACAGTACATCAATTTTGTGAGTCGATTTCATTTCAAATTACGTCCAAATTTGGCCATAACGCGCATACGAGCCAAAAGTGACGTTATTTTTAAGAGGACGGGTTGGGGGGAATGAGTGTTAACTACTGCGCTGTGGCTGACGTAGTCTGCTACCTATGTGACAGCCGACATTTCTCTCTGGCTGCTAGTTTGCTTGAGGTGTTGTTTCGGGAGCTTATTCTTTCTTAATTTTCGGACATTTTCATATATGGATGGAGGAGGTCTGCTTAGCTGCTTATTAGGCCAGCCTAGGCTCCTCCTCCATTGCACCTGAGGTTTCACCCCTGCTTATGTTAGTCAGTTTGCCTGTTTACAAACAGGGGGGGTCTTCTGGCTTAACTGGCCACAATACCTTGGCTTCCCGTATGGAAGACGTACCCTGTGGGCCCTGGAAAATCCCCCATGAACTTGGTAACATGGATCCATCAGAGTCCACTCTCGCCTTGTGTAAAGTTGACGGTTGTTCTTCGTCCCTGTCTCTGGGAGACAATCACCCCTTTTACCTCTGCCATGCTACTTATTTGGACTGTGAACCCTATGACCCAGAGTCTTGTGGGACTTGTTCTCTGCTTGTGCTTCCATTTATCCATTCTCATCTGCGGATGAGAGGTGTGGAGGTGGTCGCCTATGGGGTATGGGACGACTGACCACGTGGTGATCGACAAACACAGAAATGGGTATAAAACGGGGAAGACAGTTGCTCACCTTGAGCTGAAGTCTTCTGAGGACAGGCAGAAGCAATGCGATGGCTTCTCAGGGGGCGAGGATGGGGGAGGTCCAATGGTAGTTGGCCAATATGGGGTGCTGGATAGTCACAGTCAGGAGGTCGTCAGTCACAGGTCCAGCTGCAGTCAGGTGCGGTTCTCGTCTGCCCCCAGGCGTGCTCCGGGGAGATGAGCAAAGTCACTGTGCAGGGCCGCCGTCCACCAATCAGGAGCACCTAGCATAAGAGATATTCCCTCTAGCGGGCACCTTGAATGTGGTTCCCTCTACACTCCCCCCCCCCCCCCCCGTTCCTATAAAGTAAGGGGTATATTTGAAACTTAATTTAAACTTAGTATGTCCTTTTGAAAAGGACCCTCCACCCGCTTCACATTGAGGGGTGGATTGGTATATATGACAACAGAAGAAAACGTTTCTGGTTTAACTAAAAGAAAACATCTAACAATTTAAATACAGTATGTGCTTCTTTGTGAAATTGATCATGATTACTGTACTGACACGGTGTTGGTTGATCTAATTGTTGTGATTGAACGAGGTAGTACTATTTTTGTGCACTGAACTGATCATGATTTATTTACACTACACTGCAGCCTTTTTTTCTTTCTTTATTTCAAGATTCATTCCTAGGGATTCACCCTTGTAATGGTCCTCACACCTAAGTGCTGCTCCTTGGTTATGGTTCCTTCCATGACAGAGCAACACTTTCCACACATCTCACCCCCAGGATCCCAAGGGAAGGCAATTGGATCTATGCCTTCAAGAAACTGACTTACTGCTAATTTTTCTTTTACTTTCTTCTGAGGACGCCTTTTTGAATTGTTTTAAAATGCCATGCTTCCTGTAAGAAATTGGCTCCTTCCTGTGGTTCCTCCTGCTATAATTACATTTCCCATTGAGCAGCTCCTGTAATCTAACTTCTCCCTTAAAATGATATGAGGAGACACCTTCATGTCTTTGTTCTAGAGTCTTAATTAATCTTCCTGAAGGTTGGATGTTTAACAGTCACTTCCTGATCCTGGCTTGTTTGTGCAGTAAAGGCAAGGTTCTGAAGTGCCACTTCTGTCCAGCACTGGAGCACTGAAGGAACTTCACCCAATGTGTTCCCACCTAGCGCAGCCAAACTCTGCTGATTATCCTTGCCCATATCTGCTGCTTCTGCTCCTGAATCCGATACAATAATAATGTCTGAATGAGTACTTTTTCCTAACCCCTTTCCTGAAGGTTGGATATTTGTCTGGGCAGTCTTCTGCCCTTGATCAGGTTGTTCTACTAGTGTGGGGTCCTGAAGTGCATTCACTCCTTACACTCTAGCATTGCAGATTACCTGATTAAGCGGTGGAGGCATTCCTATCGGTTGATGGCGAGTTTGAGCATCCCCTAGCATTTGGTTCTACTATTGTGTTGGAGCTTGAGCCGTGAGGGGGCGGGTCTGTGTCAAAAGATATGGCATTCAACAAAGGAGTCGTAATCTTAAGGCGAGAGATATGGTGGATGTTGTCTGCTGTGACTGTAGTGTTTGTGTCCTAGCTGGTGTCTGGAAGCCCTAGAGGTGTTGGAGTTGGCTGAAGGAGATTAATCTTAGCAACATCAGGGTGGTTACTCCTCTGCTAGCACAAAAAAGGGGTTTCTATATATAAAAGCGTTTGCCTGTCTTATGACTATTTGTGGAGTTCATGTGATTCTTTGTAAGACCTTAACCCCTGGGGATGCTCTTGTGATTATAGCCTGCAACACGCCCAGGCGCAAGAAATAAAAAAAAATCCTCATATAAAATGGTTCATTTCTGTTTCTTAACCACTTGGGCTGAACGGTAAAGCGACGGTCTCGCTGTATGCAGGTCGGCGTTCAAGCCCCGACCGACCAAGTGGTTGGGAACCATTCTTTACCCCCTCCCAACCCCCGGTCCCATCCCAAATCCTGATCCTGACCCCCTTCCAAGGGCTATATAGTCGTAATGGCTTGGCAATTTCTCCTCATAGTTCCTTTCCCTTACCTGACCACAGGGCAAAAAAGGCTCTCACACCTGGGAATGTTGCCCATGATTTAAAAAAAAATGGCATCTGTTTACAAGAGCCCTGAGGAAGCTGAATCCTGTGTAGCTGAGGGACTTTTAAATCTTGCGCGGTACTCTAACACATAATAGCTGTGGTGCACAATTCCATGACAGTTACTCACCCCAGCTATTGATGTGTTGTGCATTTTAAGGGTTAATGTCATTTTCACTGCCCCTTTTACCATAAATCTTAGTGTCATGTGCAATTTGATGATATAGTTTGTAATGTTCTCATCTATGTCATTAATGTATATGTCAAAAAGGGCTGGCCCCCAAGATGGAGCCTTGCAGTACCCCACTCACCACATTTCTCCAGTCAGACTAATTTCCATAAAGCATTACCCTTTGTTTTCTTTATTTAACCATTGCTTTATCTATTCCAATATTCTACCATTCATTTCATATGCCAGTAATTTCTCTACTAGTCTTTCATGTGGTATCTTATCTATAACTTTAGCAAAGTCCATGTATACTACATCTACCAGAAGTCCTTTGTCTGAACAGCTGATTATCATTTCCAAAAATGTGAGTAGGTTTGCAAGGCAATATCTATTTTTAACAAATCCATGTTGCGTTGATTTTAGAAGACTGTTCACTGTGAGATGGTGAATGATTCCCTCCCTTAGGATTCTCTCCATGAATAAGTATTTAATAAGTCGATTCTCAATGTTATACACTTACAAGTAGGGTTTAACTCACTGTTTTCTCTCAGGTATAATGCTTTTCAAATTTTTAATCCTAATGTGAAGATAAAACAACAATTTGAGTGCTTATTGGACTTTATTAAAGAATTTATGTAAAATACCTTACTCTGTCTTTCATGCCCACAGAATTCAGTGTCTTCCTGACTGCGGACAAGGCAAAGCAGCGTCTCTTCTTCTCATCAGGTTTAGCACAGCTAAACGACACAGTAACGAGAGTAGAGGAAGACAGCCTAAAATGTCAAGAGTACATAATCTTGGCTAAGGTAGGTTTAAGTGCATTGTGAAAAATGCTCACCTTTCTACTGTGATAAGCTTATGTACAATATGGCATTTAAACTGTATATATTGTCACATAATTACCCTCATTATTCATGATTTTTTTTTATTTATAAAAGAAACCACAAAGTACAAACAGAAAAGCTACATACAAGAAAACATGAGTACATACATGATACACAATACAGGATACAGGAACACAACAGGCAAAAAACCCAAACATAAGAATAATCAAAAGTGAAACATACAAGATACAAAGCATATAACAAACCCCAACATGGGCACAGAAGACAAGCTAAAAGCAGTACAGGACACAAGGCATTAATAACAAAAAACAGAACCACACAAAGAACCGTAAGTACAAAAAGTAAACAAAAAACACAAAAAATAAACAAAAAAAATACACAAAAGGCACAAACTCATGCAAACGACCAAAAGGCCTTAAGAACACAAGTACAAAATATATACCACCACCACACTAAACACACTACTACATCAGCACAATTGCACACCAGCCACACATACTACACACACAGCTGGAAATATAAAACCACACCCAACCACACAGAACATATACAGAAAGACACAAACACGCAAAAACCGGAACACGCAGGAACCGGAAAACAAAACCCCCCCGTCCCAGACACAAACCTCACCCCACCCCACCCCACACCCACGCACCCAGGCGCAAGTAACCCCACAACACAACAGTCAACGAGGAGGATATTTCTCAGGAAACTGCCACGGCAGATACTTCCGTTTGTAAGCCTCCAATATTAAATACTCCAGTTCGGTAGGTGAGCGGCGCTCACGACACCGCGGGTACTCCATATACTCGGGAATCTCCACATCTGGCGGAAGCGGTCGCGCCCAACCACGGTCCACAAAAGACGAAGAACCCGTCTTGGGCGGCATGGACACTTCCGCCGAGGAAGCAGGAGACACCGGAATAACAGGCGGAGGCTGCCGAGGCGGCATCACCGCCCTCGACAAAGCAGGAGACACAGAAGAAACGGCCAGAGACGTGTGGGGCGGCAGAACCGCCGCCAACGTAACAGAGGACGGGAGAGGGGGCACGCAAGCCTCGGAGCGCGCAGCTTTCTTCAAGACCATCTTCAGGTCACCACGTCCACTCTCAACGCCGCAAGGGGGAACTATTCCCCCCCCCCCCCACGGGGAACCGGAACCATCAGACGCGGGCAACGCACCCGAAGCAAGAGGTACCGGCCCCACACCGGCCCCCACCCCAACAGCAGGAGCCACAGCAGGGGCCACATCAGGGCCCACACCATCCACCGGACCCACACCAGCACCAGACGCACCATCCTCGCACTCCACCAAGGAACAGCTCGCAGAAGAAACATCTACGCTCGCCGCATCCTCACATTCCTCTGCCCACGATCGAGGAGGTGAAGCACCCGCATCCGTGCGTGAACGCTTGGGACAAGGCCGTTGATCATCGGAGCTGTCACCCCCTGCAGGAGGTACCTGAGAAGAGCCAGCGGTAGACTGCCCCCCAACCGGGGTACACGACCCCGCAGAATGTCAGCCTCAAAAGAAGAAGGAACAGGCGCGGCCGTAGGAGGAGAAGGGTCCAACATAGGTGAGAGAGCCTGCAGAGACGTCGAAGGCTACTGAGGCGCAGAGTCGGAAACCGGTGCAGAAGCCGGTGGAAGCGACGAAACAGAGTGTGGGGGCGGAGTCGCACACACCACCACCTCGTCGTGGACACCACCGTCCACACACGCCGGGCCAACAGCCACCACCAGGTCAGCAGGCGGCAGGGAAGCCTCCCCACCCACTCCATGATGAGACGGCAGGTCCTGCACCACCAACGGGGGAAAATCCTCGTCCCGGAACAAATTAGTAGGCGCAGCCGCGACCCCAGTGCAATCAGCTGCCAGATGCCCCTCAACGCCACAACGAAAACATTGTCGAGGCTGTCCCGTGTAGAACGCCCGCATAGTGTAGCCCATCAAGGTCACCGCGGAGGGAACAGGAGACTTGAGCCGCAGGCCGAGAGTCCGGGTCCCACACGAGACACCACACCACCTGCCAGCAGAGACGAAGTTCATCTGGATGGAAACGACAGTCCCAAACTGGCCAAAATATCGTCGAAGCAAAGCCTCAATGAATTCAAATGGCACACCATGCAGGGCCACATGCGACACCGAACAACACCGGTCAGAGATAACAACACCGGTCAGACGGTACCACCGTCCCCAGGGAGAGGAAGAGAGCGCCCATCGTAACGGGCCACAAAGTCTCTATAAACAGCAGCTGAGTTAAACTTAACAAGTGCCCGATGGGTGGACAGCAGTTGGAGCCCGTACACATCTGCAACACGCACACGCAACATACCCAACAGGACAATCTCAAGGGCTAGGTAAGACGCCCATCCAGAAAATTCCAGACCCACGGTCTCAGAGCAGCGAATAGGGGGGAGGGGGGTCCCCATGGCGCCGACGCAACACCACCACCCTCCCACACAGAACGCTTAGCAACCTTTATTCATGAAGTGGCTTCTTCGTTCTTCTTCCATCGATAATCCATAACTCTATGCAAGTTTATGTAAATGTTTTATGTGTACAATGTAAACACAAATGTATTATTAGGCAACTTGACATTCTGTGTTCATACGCTTTTGGCGTTCCTGCACCTGGCGTTGACTCATTGTTTAACCACCAACACGATAGTTTAGAGATCACACCACATGCTCTCCTGGGAAACAAGATAATTGATGTCTGGCCGAAACCAGACATTTAAGTTCAGTCCACTCAGATGCTTCATTGAGTTAACATCTAGCTCCCAATGACTTGCTAAGACAGCTCATTAAGAATAAAGGTGTTAGGTATTGTATCTTGTAGCATTGTATTTTGTTGTTGTTATCAGTGTCTAGGTCATTGAGTTAACATTAGTGTTCATGCTTTTATTTGATTTTGACTTCTAAATTACACTTACAAAGACAGTTGTATTGCAGGTGTTAAAGTAACTTTTACTTTGTTTTATTAAATTTAACTTTTGTTTTAACTCTGGCTTTTGACACTTTCCTGTTCCCATATTCACACTGAAGTTTAATGCGACTTTCTGTGGAGAGCCCCTTCGGCTCCCTGGAGTTATCGGACTAATTTGTGAATCATTAGTCTGGGGCAATATTCTATGGAGTTCAGCGTACTGGGGACCACGAGCCAGAACCTGGCTCCCTCAGAGAGGTGCAGGAGCTAATGGTCCTGGAACCCCCCCCCCCCTGTGGTTGGGGTTTTTCCCTATCTGCATTCGACTCAGAAAGGTAGGCATAACAAAACAGACCCCACTTGGTAAGAAAATTGCAATCAAGAACCAAACATTGAGGCAGAACTCCCTTCAATCCCAAGGAAACAAGCAAACATCATACTCCATCACCGCGTCGCTTGCCTGCACAGATGGAAGCGGAAGCAGAAAGCCCCAGACCCCCCGCGCTGGCCACCCAGTCACTTCAGTTCATCAGCTAATACGAACTGGGGGGCGAAGGTCTTCTCCACTTTCGCTTTCCAAGCAGTGTTTACCTTCGTGGAGTCCTCTGCGGTGTCGTTGTGTGTGGTTGCCAGGTGTCCTCAAGAGTACTGTGGCTAGATGAGCTTAGGGATCTCCTTCCCTAAGCGCCCTGTGAGTACTACCGTTGCGTGTTAGGGTTCTCTTCCCTGGTGCGTTCAGGAACCAATTCCGTAGGGGTTTTTGCTGCTCGGCACTTACCCTGCCCATGGGGCCGGCAGGGGTTTCATGATCCTATTTGGCCTTAGGTAGAGAGTGGTACAGTGCTGGTTGGGGCCTCAAGGTGTTGCCTTGATCTTGTTGTAGGTAGGCAGACAAGGTGCTACCTGCCCACCTACACGGTGGCCAGTTCCTGTTTCCTCTGGGGATGTACTTTTCTGGGGATTTTCTTTTGTTTATATTTCTTGCCTGGTGTGGGTATTGTTCCACTCATTACATATTGGCGGCTCTCTTCCAGGCCCTCGTGATTGTACATGTCGCAGGGGTTTCAGTGTTTTGACCTCCCCTTTGCTAGCTTTGGGTCTTAACTGGTTAGCAATACCTTGCCCAGGCTTCTCGTAGTAGTCAGCCTATGGCACCTGGAAAACCCTGTCAGGGCTTAGTGGACCCATGGATGCGTCTTCAGAGTTCCAACCCACCTTGTGCGGGTTCAAAGGTTGCTGTGTGTCCTTGTCTCAGGTTCACAGTCACCAAACTTGCCTCTGTCATGCTGCCTGTTAGGTCAGGTTATCTTGAGAGGATTTCAGAGCTTAGCGTCCCCGCGGTCCGGTCCTCGACGAGGCCTCCTTTTTGTTACACATTCCCAGGAAGCAGTCCATAACAGCTGTCTAACTCCCAGGTACTTATTTGCTGCTAGGTAACAGGGGACATCAGGGTGAAAGAAACTTTGCCCATTTGTTTCTGCCTCCACCGAGGATCGAACCCAGAAACTCAGGAATACAAAACCAAAGCACTGTCCACTCAGCTGTCAGGTCAACGACACCTTCGACCCGGAGTCCTGCAAGTCGTGTTCTCTGCTTGTTCTCCAGTACTATTATGATGACATTACTGTTAGGGTACAGGCATCACCCGCCAAACACACATGTTGGGGAGCCGGCCGGCCGAGCGGAGAGCAAGCTGTACACGTACTCACCTTGTTGTGCTTGAGAGGATTGAGCTCTGGCTCTTTGGTCCCGCCTCTCAACCGTCAATTAACAGGTGTACAGGTTCCCGAGCCTATTGGGCTCTATCATATCTACACTTGAAACTGGGTATGGAGTCAGCCTCCACCACGTCACTTCCTAATGCATTCCATTTGTCAACCACTCACACTAAAAAAGTTCTTTCTAATATGTTTGTGGCTCATTTGGGCACTCATTTTCCACCTGTGTCCCCTAGTGCATGTGCCTCTTGTGTTAAATAGCCTGTCTTTATCTACCCTGTCGATTCCCTTGAATCTTGAATGTGGTGATCATGT